TATGACGACTAGGGGGGTTGCAATCCTGAAGCTTTTTGTGAATTCCGTAATTTCGAGATTTTAATTCGTAAAACTTTAAGTATTTGTATGAATAGCTTTGTTATTAAAACTGTTGTCTTACTTTATTAACGCTTGGGCCAGATCCATTTGATACGTACGTCTGACTACGTCATCGTTCAGTCAGAAGGGTTGTTCAGTATTCAGAGTGTAAGTAATTAAAGTTGGATACAGACAGTTTCCAAGATATTAGCTTTTGGTGAAACCGAATTGGCTAAAAACGTTCATGCAAGTTTTTTAAGTATCGTCACTGTGAAAAGAAAAATAATCATAGAACATCGGTGACACCCCCCTCCTGTCCGGAAAGAACTATTACAATCCTGAAAATCCCGGGATGTGGGGAACCCAATTAACGTATAGGATCCCGGGATTGCAATCTCTAGTAACGACGTGTGAAATACGTCACTGTATTTGTTTCACCCGTACGATATCCTTGTTTGTTGTTAAGCTCAAACGTACACAATGGGTATTCTGTGCTCTACCCATTTTGAGCGCTATAAGCCCCCAAACTTATTTTAATACCGTTCACTACCGGTAGGGGTCCACCTACTGCATGATATTAATACTTGTATGGTTTTTGTCTATTCGCCAGCCTCAGTGCAAAGAACTGACCAGATGCAGTTTTGGGAGAAAACATACATCCTCTACGTACGATACAATCGAAACCCCAACATTAATTAATGAGGCTAATTGCACTATTTTTGTTTGTCTTTGTGTGGTAGACCATTAATATTATAGACCATGTAACGAAGAAAATCACGACCTACCCCCCCCCCCGCCCCCCCAACACACACACACTCGCAGCAGTTTGGTGTGTAAATAGTTTAGAAAAAATGTATTTAAAAATCCGACTGGGTTCTCAATCAAAGACGGTTAGGGGGGGTCAGAACCCCACCTTTTCCAGAACAACAAAAAATTATAGAGACTTTGTTACTCAGGATCGAAGATAAGCAATACACATTCTATACCATTAATGAAAATTGGAACGGTATCTCTCTTATTATTATTATTATTATCATTATTTTATCAATTAATGTATTATTAACGAATTGTATGTATAACTACAACTAGAACTGTATGCATCATTAAACTTAACTGTTACAAGAAGGCTTATACATTGCATATCATTAATCTTATATTGTGGTCCAAGGGATTTTAATCCACATTTCCGAGAACCTTTATCCTTCCCCTGCCATTGGGGTTATTAATATGTGAGGTTTCTCTCGAGTAACTTATATTTACTGTGTACGTTTCTTAGTATCCACCTGTTGCCCCCAGTGATTCATTTACTGTGTACGTTTCTTAGTATCCACCTGTTGCCCCCAGTGGTTCATTTACTGTGTACGTTTCTTAGTATCCACCTGTTGCCCCCCAGTGGTTCATTTACTGTGTACGTTTTTTTAGTATCCACCTGTTGCCCCCAGTGGTTCATTTACTGTGTACGTTTCTTAGTATCCACCTGTTGCCCCCAGTGGTTCATTTACTGCGTACGTTTCTTAGTATCCACCTGTTGCCCCCAGTGGTTCATTTACTGTGTACGTTTTTTAGTATCCACCTGTTGCTCCCAGTGGTTCATTTACTGTGTACGTTTCTTAGTATCCACCTGTTGCCCCCAGTGGTTCATTTACTGTGTACATTTCTTAGTATCCACCTGTTGCCCCCAGTGGTTCATTTACTGTGTACGTTTCTTAGTATCCACCTGTTGCCCCCAGTGGTTTAGCGGAAAGTCTGAACAATTGTAGCGCTAAAACTCGGGTTTCGATACCCGTGGTGGGCACAGCACAGATAGCCCGTTCGAAACAACACATATGGGTATTTACTGCACAACAGTAGATACACATCTCTACATAAACTAATTTTGCTAGTTTTATATTTTTTTCCAAGAAAGCGTTCAAAACAAAGTCCTCGTTTCCTCATAATCGAATTTTTACCCACGTATTCACATATCTGTTTATCTTAACACTCCATATATCTGTCTGTCTCCCTATCTTTTTATCTGTCAGTTCGTTATCTCTATGAATTACCTAATACTGTACCTGCCTGGGTTCTTTGTAAGCTGTGTTGGTAAATGTTAGTATTTTAAATTTTACGCTTTTGCTTCTGATAAAGTTACACTTGTGAACACTTTCAGCTACTCGACCAATGAAATGTGTAGAATATTGGTCTCGAGCCAAGCTAGTAAACAATCTTTGGCGTAACAAAAACGTATATTTGTATATACATATATATATATATATAAGATACACGTGCTTAGCGATTTCAACGGTAGGCACGTGCTTTTGATGATGTCACGCCAAACGTAGCACGTGACCGTAGCGAACCACAGTAGAACCGCTGGGAAGGGCACCGTCGTATTCGCGAACGCCCCCTTTCGCCGACTCAGAACACCACTCTACAGCAGTGCGCGCACGGAGGAACGACGTTCTGTAAGGCCTTATATTATCGTGTTTCGTATGCGCCGCGTTCCGAACCCTTCTTCCTTCGATTGCCTGTACAACCGGTGTAACGAAGCCATTGTCTTCCTCGGAAATTATTATTTACTCCAAGGCGTGAAAGGAGGGCGATCCCAGTCTAAAGACTTATTATTTACTCCAAGGCGTGAAAGGGCGATCCCAGTCTAAAGACTTTGAAGAATGTCAACAACGCAAAAGGTCCGTAAGAACTAATGTAAGTGTTATCAGTACTGTATCGGTCACCCGTGGGTTTGTTTTTTCTATCCACCCCCCCCCACACACACACACCCTTTATCATGGTGGATGTATAGTAATTAGATAGAAATACTAATTTTTTACCGTA